ATCGCTCGTCACAAACATCTTTTATGTGTCCGAACACGCGATACGGCGTACGTGTACGTATATGTGACTTTAGTGCGCGTTAATACTGAATTTCAAATTTTTAGCTCACACAAGAATATAGAGCATGCTGTCTTGTCTGACTCCCAGAGTCGCTTTCGCGCCATAAAATTTACGTTTTCATTTAGGCGTCCGTACAAGAGATCGAAGCAGAAGTGAATGATAATGTTAAAATGGAGGGGTCGCGCGTGGAATGCTCCAACAGTTTGAGCTTACTAGCTTGCTGAGTTGAAAGTGGGTGACAAAATACGAACAAAGGGCACACAGACAACCACAAACAGACAACCTTTTCCCAATATGCGTTTTTGCATTTTGTATAAATATACAAAAACACATTAAAAGTACTGAAGCCCATCTGTCGAGCGGATGCTAGTTCCTTGAAATAGCGCTTCCAGACTTCAAAAATTTTTACAGATTCCCGTCATAGAATTGCGTTATTAATACATTTCTATTACTGTTAATATCTGTAAATTGGTCGTATGCTTCAAGCAAGTTATTTTCAGTGATCGATTGCTTGCGGAAAAACCTCGGTCCGGAGCCTTTTTTCGACGTGCATATGATGGTTGAAAATCCGGAACAGTGGTTGGAACCGATGAAGAAGGTTACTGCTCCTTACATCTTTCAGTGATTCACTTTGATGAAAAAATGATGGCGATTTATGCCAGAGCATCTAGATAGTTTTTTTGGAATACTTTTGATTGCCATTACTACGAAGTGTTGTTAACACTGTAATTAGGCTGTAGAAGGTGAGGACGGGGGAGGGAATGGGCGGGGGGAAGGGGAAAGATGATAGAAAAGTGAAGTAGGAAGGGAATTTTTAATTATTGCCACAACAGGGTGTTGTAAATAATGTTTCTTCCTTTTTTCTAATAGTCTTCTGGAAAAGGTTTCTCAGATAAAATGTGTGGCGTGATTTAGGCGGGTGCTAGTCAATTTGTGTTTCATTTTGAAGCGTTGGATTCGGCGAGTGCTTGTCAGAGGCTGATCGACAAAATCAAAAGCGCTGGCTTGAAGGTGAGCCTCCTCTCACGTTTGTGATAAAGTTGACGCGTCTAGTAAGAATCAGGGCACATACCGGCCAAAAGCGTGTTGCTCAGTTTTCTCGCTCGTTTGATACATTTCAATATTCGTCTGGAAAGTTGTTGGTTCATGCCTGTGCTAGGAATTGCCGCTTCGAAAGCAAGCTCACAACCAAACACGCTAAATACAGTGTAAAGAGAGTACGCTTCGGGCTGTGGCACGGCCGATGCGTGGCTTTTCTCAGTGTTGTCAGCTTCTTAGCACTGCGACATTAAAAATTCACGCATATTTATCCTGGCTGCGCGGATGAATTGAATGTGAAAAATTCAACGGTAAAATGCAGCAACTTGCCCACACAAGCTACAGCTGTAACTAGTTCAAAAATTTCAAATTGCGTTTTTTGGCCATCAGCACACTGGATCGATTTGTTGGTATTTTTTTTTTTTTTTTAATGGATTCATCATTTTTATTATTGAGGCTGGTTTGGCAATAAAACCCGGTACGCCGGTACAGAAAATAATGTCGCTTTCCGGCATGGATATGGTTCTGATAATGACTGTAGAGCCTGGATTCGGAGGTGAGCGAATTTTTTTTCGTTCGAACTGCTTAGTTTTCTTTCTGGATTTTCACTTTTGTTGTGGATGGCTTGTAAGCGACAATTATTAGCGAGAGCCGGTATATGCTTTCCACACCGTGGTGAGAATCACTGGTTGAACCGGTGGTGCTGCATTGCATCGAAGCTGAATTTAAATTTTTTGGGTCGCACAATGAGCAGGGAAAATTCAGCCTTGGTCCCGAGCTGCTTTTTCAGAAATGTTTCTGACATATCTGTTTGTGAAAGTAAGAGGTCGTGAACTTTCAAAGGGATCTGAAAACAACCATAGTGATGAAGTAGATTTGGAAATCGGAATATGTGTACAGATACATACACACACAGTAACGACTTCTCCAATTTTTGCACTTTTTTAGTAGTTACGCATAAAAATTATGTTAAGCTATTTCGCAATTGATGCAAAATGCATAAAAATTTTTTAGGTCAAAAGTTTATGGAAGATATGATGGATAAAATCCGTTTGCTGCGCTCTGCTCATCCGTTTTTGGATATTCAGGTGGATGGTGGCGTCAATGTGGATAACGTTGAAATCTGTGCGAAAGCTGGAGCTAATGTTATTGTTTCGGGGACGGGAATCATTAAAGCTTCTAACCCAGCAGAAGTGATTGCGGTTTGTTTGTGCTTTTAGACATTTTTATCTCGATGATCATGTTTTGGTTTGACACTGAATGTCTTTCACCTAGAATTCAGTGTAAAACGCAACAAATAGTTTTATCGCAGCCTCAAAAACGAGTGCATTTTGCGAATTTCGTCATCCTTCTCTCTCGACATCCTGTTTATTCTCAAATTTCCATTGTTAGATTTACGATTGATTATCGAATAAATTCATGACAGTTATGCATGTTGGAGGATAGCGTTTCTGGAAGTCCCATGCCATACCAACCGACGCCCATTTCCTCTGCAAGCAAGAAAAGGCCAATACACAGCCAGTATGAGTCCAGTTGTTAAGCTGTAAAGCAGCAATATTTATACTGTTAATGATTGGACTGCTTCAACTTTAGCGCAGCATGAACATACTGGCAAGTTTGATGCGTCACTACTGGGATTAAATTATTTTTGTAAAAACTAAAATAGTTTTACTATCCAAAACCGGATTCTTCAGTTTTTTTTTTTTTTTTTTTT